AGAGACAGAGTTTAACAAAACATAAAAAAATGGTACCAAATTTATTTCAGTACTTCAATGAGCAAGCAACTTATTAGTTTTCCGTCTTGTGCACTATTGGGCCAGGAGCCAATTTTAACAGTGTATAACCGCAGGCTTAAGACAAGTGAAATATCATTATAAATGTAGTCATCTAGGTTTGGTTTGGTTTGTTTTATGGTATATCAACCCATTGGGTTATTTAATGCCAAGTCAGCTTAAAGTAAAAAAAAAAAAAAGAAAAAAGATAATGCTAATGGAATCAATAATTATTAAATCCAATCAGTCTAAACATTGAGGAAAATTGTGTCCTCAAAAAACAAAAATAGTTAATAAATGACACAGAAGGACAATTCTGACTCTTCTTATAAGTTTCCTTTCAACTAGTTAATGCTTTGCAACTTCTTGCTATGATTCATAAGGTAACAGACGGAGCTAAATACTTTTCTTTCAGTCATACATAAATAAAAAAATTCCTATTTACACTATATAAAAACAGCCAGATGCAAAATTTAACAGTAGGGCAAAAATGTAAAAAAAAAAAAAAAAAAAAAGTATGCCATCCTGAAAATGCCATAAAAAAGTATCTATTGGAAATATATGCTTAAAACTTTACTCATTTTGGGATGAAGAATTCAACAAAACAGCTATTTTCTTTGTATTTTCTGGCCTTGGTTCAATATTTAGTTAATGAGAAAGCAAAATGGTGATTTGAGATGATTAAAAATTAGAAATAAATCGCAAAAACTCTCTGAGTTATGTCTTAAATAATTAGGAGGAAAATGGGAAAAGAAATGGAGAATTAAAATTACTTCAGAAGATATAAAATGGAATTGATAAGGAACCTCGAATGAATTTGGTAAAAAATCATTAACTTTGAAATTTCCTCAAAGGTGATCTCCTTTCTCTGATAAGAAAAAAAATATTTGCTGGGGTTTCTGAGCTGAAATTTGATGTGAGAGGGACAAATTCTTAATACTATAATGCTAAGCCATAAGCTAATTCTCATTAAAACTTAGAGAAATAATGTTTTGCTGGGGTCCATGTGTTTTTATGGTATAATGTACTTTGAGATAATACAGATGAAAGTGAAAATCTTTACATACGTCAATGCCAAAAATAAGAAAAGGGCGCCCAGGAGGATCTCTTATATAAACCATTGAAATATTTGGCTTCAAAAATCACTAGAAAGATCTCAGAACAATGTGCTAAGAAAATCTCTGTCTCTTGAAGACAAGAATGCACATGCATCCTGTGGATGGAATGGACACACAAACACAAAGGAACATAACTATTGCAAACTTGCTTCAGGGTTGGAACAGCTACTACTACTACATTATCAATAGCAGCCAAAAGGGAGAGAAAAAAGCAAATGGAAAACAAAGAACTAAGAAATACCCATTTTGCTACCTAGATATTTAGATGACACATGTTTGTGTAACATTTTCCTTCAGAGACATGTACCCATGTTTGAGTTGCTGGGTGAGAAAACAAGCATGTAAGATGCCCCGACACATACTTTACACCTGGCAGCCAGATAGTACTTGGTCAGTGTATGTTTATGTTCAATTTAGTGGCTGGAAGTGATCTAGTCACAGTTGATTCTGCAAACATGCTTCAGGTTTGCTTACAACTCATTTATATAAATACATTTTGTCATAGATCTATCTAATTTAGGAAACTTTTGTGAAATTATGCAGTTTTTAACTTATCAAAAAAGGACAGTAATGACTACGGAGATACAGTGGAGTAATGGATAGTGGCTCAGATTGAGGAATCAGAGAGCCGAGTTCAAATTCCAGTCAAATCCATTACATTCACTTATATGCTAATACCCTTGAAAAAGGTATGAATCCTCGTCTTCTCCCCCCAGCTATGGGTAAATAGCAGGACAGACTGGGTTCTATAGCCTTGGATGGCAACTGGTCTACTGCAGAAAGAAATGGCAACTTACTGTGGAAAAAAAAATCTACCTCATTAATCATGCATCAAAAGATACATGATCACCTAAGCATGTATCACTCATGGCATATAACTGACTGAATGACTACAAAATTTAAAAATTTATTTCATGAAATGAATTATTAGTCAATCCTTCAAACAATTGCTTATTGTAAAGTTTTAAATTCATTTATCTTTAAATGAAATAATGAATAAAAATAAATTTATTGGAATTCTAATCTGGTTTCTTGCTTTCCAGTTAATTTTGATCTTCAAAAATTCATTTGTTATCTGGTCTTGTTAAGTCTTGTTCTTTTATTATTCTCTATCCTTAATAATGTTTTGCTTTTTCTTATATTCTTTCACACTCACTAACCCCTCCCCTATGTCTTAGTGGCTTCATTGCCTTGCTTGGGTTGAAATGATTAAAAAAAATACTTATGAAAAAAGATTTTCTGGACAGAATGATCCTCCTGGATTTCCTCTTCTAATGGTGATTTGCGGTGTGAATTTGTTCATAAACTTCTGCTATAGACAATATTCCTAGATCACTCCCTATCCTATCATCACTTTAAAGTGGTATTGTATCAAAGTCCCATATAAAGACAAATGTTGATGCCACTTGTGTAATATCATCCAACAAAGACCATCAAAATAATAATTTCTTTAATTGGTTGGAACTAAAATTTTGATTACAAGACTTGACAGGTGCAATATGAATGACTTGGTCAATGTAAAAGTTGGAATAATAGTTTACTGCAACCCACTGCCTTGAGGGTTGGTCATTTGAAGTTGTTCTTTATCACAAATGCTAGAGCTGTTTGAATATTCAAAGTCACTGAGTACCTTTTCTTTGTTCTTTTGTAGGTGTTGATAAAGTTCCATTAAAAGAAATATCACTGTCTATTCCCTTCATCAGTGTACATGGCAAGGAATTTTGATTCTTTTTTGGGCCTACTTCTAATTAGAAGTAAACTACTTCTCAAAATGCATCATTAAAGAAAATATAAGAAAACAATTTAAACTGTGTAATATCCATTGATGAAACAAGTCTGATTTAAAATGGGGTTCATTTGGTGATGGTCATTCACTTGGTCAGCAATACAAATTTTGATGTATTTTAATGGCTTTGTACAAAATGAATGCAGTATAACCTCTTTTTGATCCATGTACATGTATGAATGTAAAGATATGAAACCAACTGATTATTGCAGGACATTGTGCTATAAGGTATAATTTTAATTTTTTTTAAAGAGTTAAATTTCTCTGGTATTTCAACCACTAAAGTAGGTACTTCGAATGATTTGCTAATAAATTAGAATACCATGATAAAAAATGCCCCAAATTTAATAAAAACAGTTTTGTTGTCAAAATCTTTGTTATTAAGAATTTTTTGATTATTAAATTATATTTTTTCATCCTTTTTATAAATTGAAAAATTTTTTGCTAAATACCTTGTTTTTCTTGTGTCTGTTGGGGGGAACATAAATTAGTATTAGGAAATTTTAGTGGCTTTTGTGTGGAGAAAAGTATACTGGTTTGGAAATTCTTGCAAAAATCAAATAATTGTCGGATTTTAATGAAACTTTCAGGACTTTTTCACAAATGAAGTTTTTTTTAAGAAAATCTTTGTAAAAACATATTTTTTATATCTGTTACCCACACTTATTTAATTTTAAGAAATTTTGAGAAATTAAATTTTGTGTCACTTATACACATATATACAAGTTAAAAGCAGTTCCTTGGAGAATTTAAATCATTTTTCTTTTTTGTAAAACAGCATCTCCACTTATGGACACTAAGAATTGTTTTCATTTTTTAAAATTTTAATTATAATTCATAAAGTTTAAAATTTTTTAAAACTCTGTCTTAATTTATCCCTTTTAGGTGATATTGTTATTAAGTAAAAATTATATTTATTAATCATAAATGGAAAAGCTTATTACAATTTGCCAACCACCAATATTTGAAAAAGAATTTTGAATTATTTTTGTATATGTATAAATGTGCAGATTTTTATAAATATGGATGCCGATAAACAACATTATCAGGAAATAAGAGTAATAACTATAGTAAATTTAAAGTACCTAAAATGAAATAAAACATTAAATTACAGAATATTTTCCTAAATTTTTAAGATTATTGAGTAGATAAAAATTATATAAAAAAGGCTCCTACATTATATTCCTAAGTAATTTTTACAGATAAATACACCATAGAAAAATAAAAGACAAACTGACATCTGTCAGTCAAGCTGTCAACACCTTAAATAAACAGTTTCCACCTTGTTAAAATGCATTTCTGCAATGTTTTAAACTTAAAGTAAGCAATATTTGTTTCAAATCAGATTAATTAAACTTTAAATCAGCTACTATTTCTCAAATAAAATTTCAGAAAAGCATATTTTATTTTTGAAAGATTTTTTAATAAAAAGAATTTCATTGTTATAATAAATGGCTAAAATAGCACTAAAATCAGTGATGTTTAGTGAATTCAAAATGAAAATTCCTTCCAATTTAAAGTAGTTTTGAAATACAGCAAAGTATTTTGCATATTGGAAATATCAAATTTAATCTATTAGCTTGAAATTAAAACTAAAATAAAAGTTTCAAGAAAGATTTTTCATTTTTTTAAACTTGTTTCAATTTTTTTCATTTTTTAAATTTGTTTCTGTTTCTTAGGTATCTACACTAAAGTTTTCAATTTGAAAGACAACAAACCCTATTTTAAGCAAACCAGATTGATGTCTGTCCTTTTTTAAGATGGGACTATTTTGATATGCATAGGGTGATACAACTTGAAGGGCAACAACTTTAAAAATATGAAATACTTAGCTTTGAAAAGGTAGAAAAAAATGCCAGTCATTGAAATAGTGACGTAATTTAAAGTGATGTGGAATAAAAACTAATCATCACACAGGAGAAGGAATTGTATCTTTAAAAAAAGAAAAGATTACATTATGAATTCTTGCTGCCTAAGTATTATATTATTAAATATTTCTATAAATGCCTGATTAATTTATTCACTTTCTTTATACTTACGTTAAGTAAGGTTTGTTGATTCCTCTGTTAGGGTTGAAATTTTCTAAAGAAGTATCAAACATATCTGAAACAGAAAATTAAAGATTTAGCACCTTTCATAATTACAAAACTTAATTATTTACAATAGAATTGAAATAGCAAGACAATCTAAGTAACTTATCCATAATTTTGCATGTCCATATTTCAATTTATTAATGTTCCATTTCAGCTGATTTTATGCATGACTATATGAGGTGACATTAAAAGAAGCATATGGAAGTTTTCAATCTTTTATTTCTATCCATCATTCTTGTATTTAAATATGCAAAGGAATTTGTTTTTATTATTAATTTTTTTGAATAGTATTTCATCTGATTTCTATTACTTTTTATCATGAGATCATCATCCCATGAGTATCAGTAAGCAGCATACACTGGAAATAAATAATAGGCTTCTGGTGAGACTAGAACTTGCATCCATTTCCTCTATTTCTGATTTATGCTGCTGGTGGTGGTGGTGGTGAATGACCACAGAATGACAATCTGTGATAAACATAAATAAGAAATAAATAGTTAACAATATGTCAGCAAAGAGATTCAAATATTGTTTTCTATCTAAACAAGCATGAGAGAGAGAGAGAAAAAATTACTTTTTATCAAACTATCCAATCAAGATAATCTATATATAATTGCAAACTTTGTAGTTCAGACAGTTACATATTTTAAATGCCGATTTTTAAGGCAAGCAGATCCTCCCAACTTGGAAAAGTGACACAGAATATCATTTTATTTGACTTTCTCCCTATTCAAGCTTTTGCTAGATTAAGCTGAACTTAATGTAATTTATTGTGCTTGGTGTCTAAGATAGTTGCAGTTTAATAACACAAAAAATATTTGAGCTCAGAAAAAAAGATTTTGAATAGGCAGATAGGATGCTCCCAGAAAGACAGGTGTGACACCATCTCCCTTCTACGAGTGATCTTTTGTGTGTAATGACAAAAGCCATTTTACACAACAAATATTGTTCAACATAATTTTTTTGTCTGTACTTCAGTGGCGAATTTTACTAATGTACATTCAACATTATATAATAAAAATTTCAGATCAAAATTAGTATAAGTGTTAATAGTCTTAAGAAATTTTCAGCACAAAAATGTGTGCATTTGATGTTAATTTAATTAGACTCAATTTTAATTTAAATCTTAATTTATTAAAAATCTGTATTGACTCTTTGCAATTATTTTTATACTTGAGATTTTATTGTGAATTTTAAAAATAAAGATTTTTCCCCAAATCATAAATATTTTTTTTCTCTCTTTTACTTTTTAATTTTCTTTTTTCTTCATTGTTGTCACCATGTTAGAACAGTATGCAAACATAAATTTTTGAGGTATTGTAATTTGTTTTTTTTTTCTTAATAACTTACACACATTTATTATTAGATACCAAAATGAACCTTGAACAAAGAGTAATTTGAACAACCTTGCAAAAATTAAAGATATTTAAATACATTTTTGCAGGGATATTAAAACCTAACTGTAGCTGAAGCCACTATATATCACAATATTGTTAAACTATAATTAATTTTTTAATTTGTCACTTGCTTGCTCTCTGCATCCCAAATGATAAAAACAAAGTCTCACAATGCATGTGTACTCATTGTTGTTGTATTCACGTCATGAGACAGTTGTGTAAATGAACTAACAATGTAATAGTATCCAAATTCTGCTGTCAGCTATTTTCTTCATGCTTATATAACACAATCTCCTGATCTTTAAGATCACTTCTCAATGATCAATTTTTTATTCCATAATATAGTCACACAACCAAAACGGCAGCTACCTTTCTCTCTGAAATCTGCATGGAGCTTATTGACTTTCATTCTTGCTCTCATCATTTGCATCATGGTCAGACTAAAAAATTACTCACCACTGTGTATCCAAGACATGCTGAGGAACTCTGTTGACTGACATTTTATTTGGAGACTGCACCTGGTCACCACCCATTTTTTTTCACTAAGATGTACAATGGTTGTCAGGCAGCTTCACCCATACTTCCTCTCCAATTTGTACCTCCTTAGAGTTTGTTAGCTCAAAAGAATTTCCTGGTGTGGTTTATGAATATCTCCACTCATATGTGTTTATATATTGCCATTTGAGGGATTGAAACTTTGCTTGACATGATCTTAGTGTCATATTATACCAGAAGACTATTTCTGGGGAAATGCTCACCTGTTTTCCAATCAATTTTATTGTACAGTGATGTCTTTTGACTATTTCATTCTCATCAGGTCTATATGCTTGATATTCCATTTATCTAATGTCTCTCTTAAAATTTTTGAACAAAAAGCAGTGTTGTTGTCTAGTAATATTTCATCTACAATAGACTCTTCAAAAATACTTCATATAGGCTATCGACTTCACCTGCAGTCTTCATCCTGATATCTTTCCATATGTCTATTCTTCCCAATCTGTGGTCAATAGTTATAAGGTACAACCTCTGTTGATAGTGTGTCATAAATAGCCATTCTCTTCTAATATTCATCTACATGAAGTTCACCCTTTCATGTGTAATGGATAAATGATTAATAGATTATCACATCTCACAACTACTACCTATCTTCTACATCTTTCTTGGCTATGTTGGGGTTAATTTTTTCTGGCTAGAAATAGGGTTCACTTAGAAATTCTGCAGTTCACTTATATCCCTACTCTCCAGTTTTCATACAAAGATGATTTATTATGGTCTTCTGTGGCCCTCATCCATGCCTTTTTTTTTTACTTGCTTAAGAGCATCTACTTTATTTTTTATGAAGATACCAGCTTAAACATTTAAGAAGTAGGGCAAGGTCAGATCATCCAGAATTCAGAGATGGCACTTAACAAGCATCTCTGCTGTTCCTTTAGTCTTCATTCACCTATTGTCTGTCATGACAGACTTGATCCATGTGAATACAGTGGTAGAATCAGTCATCACTTCAATTTTATGCAATCCCCATTTAAGACCATGTTTAGACCCTTCATTACTGCTTCTAATTTGGCCACATTAACATGGGTAGTATCATTTTTCTTTCTCAATCAAGTTGCATCTTCTACTGTAACACACTATTTCATGCATGACTCCTGATGCTATGCTGCCTTCATCACACCACACAATTCCATTGATATGTTTGCATGTGGAGAACAGTGGTATTTCTGCTTGTGGGTACATTTTGCCCTAGGATGACCTTGAATTGTGCAGAGGTATTCATATACTTCTGGCATCCCTTTGTTATTGCTTACAAATCTTCAGAAGAGATAAAGAGAATGAATTTTGATTTATAAGTTAGGCAAACATTTTACCAAATTAAAAAAAAACTGAAAAGTTTTATCTCATAAACCATTCTTACAAAAAAATGCTTACCAATGTCATCTCTTTCTCTTTTGATTTGTTCAATTTTCTTCAGATAAGCATTTTGGCTTTTGATCACATCAGCACTGCAATCACAGTTTGCATAAGCATCCAGTAATTCTTCATTTAGTTTGAAGAAATTTGGACCCCATTTGAATTTCTTTAGTAAAATCTCTCCAATTTCCTTAAAACCTTGAAATAAAATTAAACAAACTATTAATAAAATCCAAACAAAGTCTGGACACAAAAAAGGTTTTTTTTTTTGACTGGAATCATTAATTTCTACATTGAGGCATTTTTTTTCAGAATAAAATGTTTAAATAAAAGTCAAGTAAAACATAATGACTAAACATTACACTTTATCTCATATTATTAACTTTTAATTTTTCCTGATATTTATAAAGGTAATGAAAAGATTCATGAAATAATTTATGTATAAACTATATTGGACTACATATCATCTTACAATGTGGCAACAGTTAATTGACTTTTATCAGGTTACTGAAATTTTAAAAAAAAAGCAAATGTATACAAAAAACAAAGACTGTATCAATGTTGTGACAAAAAGTTAGGAAAACATCATTAATATGAAATGTATGTTCTATGTTCTGAAATTAGTTTTAAAAGTTGTTTATCAGTTGACTTTGTGATCTGTTGCATTTCTTTGTTTCAATTCTAGCTTATCTGTTTTACAACTTAAAGAAGAAATACTCATGTTTTGGGGCTGATTTGTAATACTTAAAGACATTACCTGTGATATAAAGGGTAGCAGCAAAAGCTTCAACACAAGAGAGTTTACAAGGACGACCATAGTTGATAGGATTAACAGCAACTAAATAAGGGAGTAACCTCGGATGATTCCCTTTCATTAAACCAAATGGTGTGTTTTCAAGTTTTGCCCAGGAACAGTCCACCACAGCTATGCCATATGAAGACACAAGTTCTCTGAGAAACAGAATAAAGAATATATTTATTATTCAGAAAGTACTAAGAACTTTAAAATTTAGATGAGAAAAGAGTGTCTTTTAAGTTACAACAAAAATAATATTAACAAAAAATAATATTAATTACAGCTTCAAATAAGAATAGCTTCATTTAGAAATGGATAAAAAAAAAGAGACCATTATTCCACTATTTGGACTAATGTTCTCATCTTGATTGGAATAATATCAATATTCATTCTTTATAACTTTCACCTTTTTGCAAGTGTTTGTCATATTTGGTAACCTTCAGAGAATATTGAACCTAAAGAACAGTAGTCAAGTATGTGTGTGTGTTGGGGGGGGGTGTATAATTGCTTAAGTGCTTCTCATTACCTGGTGACAAAGTTTAATCTCTAGATCAGGTAGTGAAATCCATATACACTGGTTTAGTGCATGTGTGTGGGGGGAGGTCAGTATTACAAAGATGAATTAACCTAAAAGATACCCTCTAGTGTGGACAGCCAAATGACAACAATTAATCTTGAATAAAAAAAATCAAAATGAAGACACTAATCTGAATGGATCATAATTCTTCATCTTAGGAATTCAGAAAGGAACCCTATTGTGAATTTTCAAGAATTTACCCCCAAAATGATATTCCTCATAAAAAATTATTTTTGTGCTTTGCTACTTTTCCGTTTCATTGGCTCTTGAAAAAAAATAATTTTGTTTGTGGTTAAATATGTGTTTTGCCATTAGAGGAATGTAAGTTTTATTAAAAATGAAATACTTCAGTGTATTTTGAAAAAAAATAAAATATTATAATATAGTGGCAAATATATTTATTTAACAACGGGTTGATTTGATGAATAAAGAAAAACTTTAATAACTTTAGAATTTGCAAAAGATAAAACACTAGAAATTGTAAAAATGGTTGGCAGTTACCACCAAACTGTAAAGAAGTTAGTTGAAGATCCTAGACAACTAATGCATGCCCCATCAATGTACATCTTGTATCAAGAGGGAATTTATTAATTTGTTAAGCAATTAGTTTTTTTAGGCATTGTGGCTATGATAAAAAGTTGGATATTAAATCAGATGGCAAAACTGATTACTAGGCCTTCTTTAAAAGTAGGCACCTTCATGAGATTGCTAAAAAAGGGCATAGTCTGATGAAAAAGATGCCAAACTTGATGAAAACAAAATTTTATCATCTAAATGTTTATGCTATTATTAAGAGGAAAGACCAAAGTATTTTTTAATTATTTAAAAAATTTTTCCTTCTTTTTAGAACATTCTAAATTTTGATTAAAAAAACCTTGTTTCTCTTTGTATCACTGGAACTAGTAAAATAACAAATTTTTAGCACATATTTTTTTGTATGACAGACATTAATTTGGAAAATCTTGCAAAAATAAAAACAATGTTAATGAAATTTTCAGAAACTATTCACAAATGATGGAAATTATTATAAATATGTTTTCTTTTTTTAAAGTCATGGAAAAATTTTTTTTTTTATATTTATTACCCACCCCCATAACTAATTTTATGAAAACTCTAGAAATTCAATTGCATTCAGTTTAGTGATTATATTAGTTAAAAGCACAAGGAAAGCAAATTGTGTATTTTTTTTTTAACTGGAGAAACTGAAAATCAGCTCTGAATTGCAACATACAAAACTCAATAAAACAAAGATATTATTTAATTTCAAATACTTTTATTTGCTTTTAGTTGTTTTTATGAATATGGACAATATTTTCTGAAAGCAAAAATTTTTTTGATGAAAAATGAATTTTTAATATTATTATTTGTTATTTCTTTAATTATATTAGATTTTTATACACTATTTACCACTGGTAAATAATAAGAAGGCTGATGAATAAAACAAAGGATATACAAATAAACTGCCATGAGAAAGATTTAAGATTTTATTTCTCAAAAAGCTGAAATTTCTCATAAATCTGAAAGACGAGCTTAAAACATTTTTTTTTTATGAAGGGGCCATATGGCGATATTCTGACAATTGATTGATGACCATCACTAAAAATGCTGGTCAGTAAAACAGAAGTGGAGAGAATGAGATAGGATTTAAAATCATAATTTAGAGATAAGGTTTTTTTGGGGGGAATATCCCTGACAACCTCCTCACCCAAAAAAAAGCTATCTGGCTTGTGTCTAATTCTGGACAAAAACATAAAACTGATGTCAGAGATTTTTTATTTTTTTTACATATGGAACAAGTTTGAAATGAAAATTGTTTTGATTAATGATCTGATCAGGCAGTCAAAACCATTGGTCAAAGAGTGGTGAAGTGGCAGGTGCAGATGACACACCAAGGAAGGTGGAGGTTAGATACACCCACTGTGGAATGGGGAGTTGAAGATGTTAATGAAGGAAGACTGGGCTTGACAATACTTATGACCACCACCCATGGAAAAAGGGTATCTACCAAATTTGGAAGTAATTAATTTTCAGAACCCAAACAGTTGAAAAAGGGTTCTTTGTGACAGAAAAAATATTGAATACCCCAACCGCATCATGCCCCTACACTGGTTTTAGGTGACTGTCAATAAATATGAAGGTCTCAAAGTGATGAAGAAAGAATTGTCCAGACATTGGATGAGAAAAAACACAGGTATGACTGCCTGTTATGAAATAACCTCTGATTCCTGGATTTTGCTAAACTTCATCAAGTCAACAAGAATCTCACATCCAACAAGAAGTTATCTTTCCTTGATAAACTTCTGCATGAAACTGCTAGATTTTTGACGTTATATATGTTTTGAAATAATAAAATATATTAAAAAAATTAAAATTTTCAGACACACTGGGTTGTATATTAATTTTTTTGTTTTATTTCAATTAGGTTCCTCGACTAGTTTCAGTTAGCAAGACCATCATCAGGAAAAAAAAAAATTCTGGTTTGTTAGTAGCAGTGAACTTGAACATGAATGAATGACATCTGAAAGTGAACTTTATCTGTAGTTTTCAAAAATTTTTTTTTTTCATTAATTTTGGTCAGTCCTTGTGTTGGTTAAAGCAGTCTCTAAAAAGTTGTTTTTTAAGATAGAGGCTGCTGGAAGATTCTCTGAGTTTTGACATTTCCCTCCTTGGTCATTTTGACAGTTTTATTGGTTGCTGGGAATGGGACAATCTTGTGTTGTGTATGTTATCTTGGGTGTGTTCATGGAATGTTTGGTGAAATGTGTATGTGTGTATATTTAATGATATGTGTGTGTGTATAAGTGTGAGACTCAACACTTCTGCAAGCTTGTCTTGTCTTGTGTGGGTGAGAAATGTGGGTCTTTGTTTTGATTTATGGGATTATATATTAATTCTATTTATGTTGTTAATTTGTTGTTAAAACCCTGTCTGGAAAAGTATTTTTAGCTGCAAAATCCATTTGTCTTCATGTTCCTCTAGTATTTTTCTAATGTTATCTTTTCTGTCTTTTCTATTTTTTTCAATTATAGTGAATTTTGCATGGTTTTTTAAAATCATGTTTTTTCTAGGCTGAAATGTTGTTAATAATCTTAATAATAAAAATGGGAATGAAACTTAATTCGATTTCTGATAATTATTAATGAATGTAGTGAAAAGGGCCATTCAAATTTTCCCACATATTGTTTCTGGCATAGTGTGCATTCTAATAAGTATATTATGTTATGACTTCTACAGTTAGAGCTGTGGTAGATTTTTGAAAGTAGATTTAGTGACTGAGCTAGTGAATGAATTGGTTTTAATATGGTTACAACATGAGGCTCTTTCTTTGTTAGATGGTTGGGGAAAATCCTGTTTTTTGTTTTTCTTTAATTACGGATTACCTTATCATTTGAAATTTTTTACTTTATGATTTCTTTTAGGTTCTTGTCTAAATATGCCTTTTTTTGGATTAAGACAATTTTTTTAGGTCTGTTTGAGAAATAGTATTTCCCATTTTTTTTGATTATTTTGGATAGTGGAAGGAAGAATGGGGGTTACTGAAGGGATGATGTTTGGGTTTGTTTTTTAATTTGTACATTAAGGTGTCTTCTCTAGGTGTGGAAATTGCTTTATTTATTTGTTCCTTGATTAGGTGTTGTTTATAAACATGTATTGTGAATTGATGCTCCAGATTTTGGGTGTGTTTATTTAGTTCTTCATTGTTGGAACATAATCCTTCTGAGTCTAAATTTTGGAATAGTTCTTCTTGAGGTGTTCAGGGTGGGAAGACTTAAGCAAATAAATAGTTGTTGGTGATTTTGGTGATGTAGTGTGTTAAAATTTTATCCTACTGTCTTTATTCTAAATATATTATTTTACAGATAATTCAATTTTTTATGTTCTGAATTTTGTTTTACACACACACACACAACATCAATACAGAAAGACAGAAAACACATTTACACATATCATTCATTAGAATGTTCACACAAAAGACACAAAGGAACAAATTTCTTCTTCATATTTATATATATATAAATATATAGATGGAGCTACAAATTTTATTCATAAAACATCTTCAAAATTTTGGGTAGTCCACCTTGAAAAAGTCGGAATATTTTTATAATTTTTATTTATAATTGATCATCAATATATATATTTTCAAATATACAAAATCAAGAAATATATATAATACACATTATTATATATATCAAATATTTTTTTTTTTTGAAAACTCAGCGTCATGTTCCAACACAATATCCAATCCTAAGCATACTGCCTTAAAGTATAAACGTTATCTAGATGATCAAATTTTTATATAAAAAAAATTGCAATTCTGTCAGTGGACTAAAAAGGCAGGGCAAGTGAAAAAAAAAAAACAAAAAAAAATAATTGATTATATATATTTAAAGTAATAATTAAATAAAAGATTTAGCTTTTTGCAGCTTTGTCTATTGAGGAATATCCTGGAAATTTATTTAAAAATTATTAAATTTCAAAAATCCATTATAATCGAAAATTAC